TGTTTTCTGGCTTGGGAACTCTATTTAGAGCATAGCAAATAGTCAACAAAGTCTCCCTCCACTAGTGAGATGCAGCACCAAAATTTAACATAATAACAACAACTAGCTCAGTAAGAGTTTTATTCTTTCTTTTTGTTTTACCATTCATTTTAGGAGAATATGATGCAGTCATTTCGTGTATAATTTCATGTTGTTTATAAAGTTCATTAAATGAATTGGAATCATACTCAGTTTTTCTATCACCATGAAACCTTTTAATATTCTTACTAAATTTATGTTCAATTTCATTCACATAAGTCTTAAGCATATCAAGCCCTTTACTTTCATTCTTACTAAATTGATTTTCAATTTCATTTTTAAAAATAATGCACATATCAATTTCATTTGCAAAAATATCATTCTTAATGATTGTGTATAAATCTAGCCAAATAGACTGGCTAAAACTTGTCTTATTAAAAAGAAAATCGAAAACAAGATTCTTTTTAATCTCCAGAGTATGCATGGCATCCTTCAACATTAAAGTCTTTTTTTGAGGTGGATTGTGTTCGACTCCTCCAATACTGACAACATTAGTGGTGTGAGCAACTCCCAACAACATTTTCATATTCGTGTATGTTTTGAACATTGCACAATCATGATAAACATGACGAGATTGCCCAATATCTATCCATCAACCATCAGATTCACCAATCATGTTGATTTTAATGATCAAATATATAAATTGTTGATTAGTTAGGTTAACCTGTGCATTAGGGGTAGCACAAGGTTTAAGCTTGATCTTCATTTCTTAATCTTATGACCTAGTTTTCCACAATATAAGCAAGATAAAACACCATCTTCATTTCTTTGTGGAGGTGGTTGTTGTCTATCAATTAGATTAATTAGGGTCTTGAAGGGTTTTCATTCTTAATTTTGTTCACAAAATTATTGAGGTTTTGATTCTTTAATAATTTTCCAAATGGCTTCAGAACTACATCCGATTTATTTTTGTTGTTTGAAACAACCAAAACTTTTTCTTTTTGATAATGTCTCTAAGATTCTTCTTCAATTCAAAAGCAAATAATCGGACTCTCAATAGATAAATAAAAAATGGCGAAACGATTTTCTTAAAAACACTTTCAAACTAGGGGTAGTTTTTCAATAATAAAAGTAATTTAAAATTGTTCATCTAAAGACATACTTTCAGTGATGATCACATAAGCAATCTTTTGAAGTTTATAACATTAATCCTCCACGGACTTTTCATATATATCATCTGATACTTTAGGTAGCGGCTAACAACATACTTCTTTGCTCTAACTTCTTTCGTGTCATACTTATTTTTCAGAGCCTCCCAAACCTATTTTACAGTATCACAACTACTGTAATAATCATACATATCATTTGTGAGTCCATACATAATATGATTTTGTATAGAAAATCACTCTCTTTCCATAAGATGATTTCTTTCTTGAGTTGTAAATCATTCGTTTTAATATGTACCATAGATTCAGCTTTAACACTATTAAGTGTTCCATTTGAATCCACATATTTCTTACCGTTACTTTGCACGGTTGATCCATAAGGAAAAACACGAATTTCATCATTCAAAATGTTGGCAACCTTTTTTAAGGCTAAGAAAAATCGCAAATTTTATTGCCAGTGTTTGAAGTGTCTTCTCTCAAACTTGGACGGTTTGTTAGAGACAACAACCAGAAAAGTACCAATAATTTTTTCAATAGTCATGGCAGTTTGAAACGTCTTAAAATTGTTGATTTTTGGTTTTGAAAAATTGTCGCTGAAAAAATTATCGGGTCGAGTCGCAAACTAGGTCATTCATTTTAAGACGTTTTACGACACTACTCAAAGTTGTACAAATAAATCACTCAACCACGGCGTCTCTAGGATAAAACAACTTAGTTCTATATTGTACGATTACTACTTGTACAGTAGATAATCGATTTAGAAATATACTCTCTAATGATACATAGACTATTTAAATATGATATAAATATCATTCGTAGTATCTGGTATAGAGATTAGTCGTAATAATTTATCAAACGAGAATTTCAAACAATTCTTCAAAGATAATTCAATAATGGTCATTTGACCACTCAAAATAATTTCTCCAACAAATATAAATTCAAATAATTCTCCAAAGAGAATCCAAATATTAATATTTGAAAATTTCTCAACTCAAATGATGAGAAATTAACATAATTCTCCAAAGAGAATCCAAATATTAATATTTGAAAATTTCTCAACTCAAATGATGAGAAATTAACATAATTCTCTAAAGAGAATTCAAGAAAATATTTAAAGAATTCAACGAATAAAAAGAAAGGGGAAGAATTTGATGCTTCGACAATTCAAAAGATGCATAGTTATTAAAGTGAGAAAGAAAAAGTTTAATAAATTTTTTTGGAGTATTTTAGAATGAAACAAGTGATTTCCTTATATAGTGAAGTAAACTAGTAAAAATATCTAATCAAAGCAATATGTGACTTAAAAAAACTTTTTCAAATTCATCTCCCTATTAAAATATTAAAATATTGACTTGATCCAACAAATTCCGTTAAAATTTTGTACAATTAGTTAATTATTCATGCATATATTAAAAACAATATCAAAACAATTATATCACTCTTTATTTAAAAGTTGATTTTAGTAGAGCTATTTGATTTATGAATAGGAATAACAGTGAATAGGTTTGGACAGAGTATTCTAGAATTAGTCTTTATATCTTCGATTTAAAAAAATATTTATATTCAAACTCATATTTGCATGAACATTAACATTTGTACTTGAGTATGTACCCTATTGATATTTAAGTACTCATACCTATCTTTTTAGCACATTTCTAATATAAAAAAATTGATCAAATATAATTTAGGATGTTATTTTAAAATTTGAACAATATTAAAAAAAAAATTCATGTTAGTGTTGATGTTATTATTTAGTTAAAAACTAAATATATATTTATATCAAAATATGTATAAATCTAATAATAGTGTATTTAATAAAATTGATATATATATATATATATATATATATATATATATATATATATATATATATATATATATATATATATATATATATATATATATATATATATATATATATATATATATATATATATATATATATATATATATATATATATATATATATATATATATATATATATATATATATATATATATATATATATGAGTGATTTTTACCAATACCTATTAAAGATGAGTTTAATTTTCATTCATATGGACAATCAAATTAGATAACATTTTGATATTCTAAAATCTTATTGGGTAGATATCCAATATCAACTTATTACGATGTGTTCAATAAAATTTCATAATAATACCTAATAATTTCCCTCAAAACTATGGGTTCTGCGAGGCAACAACACATGTACTTAATTAATTCCAACCCCTCAAAAACTTGGGCAAAACTATGGATCTTGTTTGCAATTCTTGATAATGAAAGCGCATGTTTAAGGAAAAATCAAATCAACTTTTTCTAAAGGACAAAGTCCAAGAAACCCCACACGGATCCCTTTTCACATTGCTTTATGGTTTTGACTTTGTCAATTGCAACTATATTAAGGTTCCTTTTCACATTAAATGCATTTTCCTTTCATATTGCTTTATGGTTTTGACTTTGTCAATTGCAACTATAACAAGAATAGTGATATGTTACAAAAAGAAATTCCAATGTCTATTGGGCAACAAAATGGGTTAGAATAGTGATATGTTATAGAAAGAAACTCCTAACAAAATGGGTTCGGGCGGACTATTAAGCTTGTTATTTTTTATGCGATGTGTTAAAGTTTTCGATTTGCCTCTTATCTTTTGTATCAATTTGTTTGAAGTCCTTTTTTTTTTTTTTAGCAAACACAAGGTTAAATGAGACCGATATGATTTTTTTTTTTGTCATTTTTAAGGTTTATGGGTGATGAAACCCTCCTTATTTTTTAAGGCATCAAATCGATGTTTTTAATTTGTCCCTCTTTTTTGCTTGCATTGTCTCATCTTATTGTTTATAAGTTTTGACAGGACGAACATAAATGGAATATACAATGTTCGTTTGTCATTTTTATGATGAATAAATATTTTCTCTATTTTAAATCTCTTCAATCCAAGATTTAATAAAAAATAGGTTTCATCAATAGTATTAGAGTTTGGCCTAACACAACCCTATAAAATCGGTTAGTAAGGTGAGGGATGTCACTTTATATAAATTATTTCAATGCTCTATCTCTAACCAATGTGGGATTTTATGATCTTCCTAACATACCCCTCACACCCAACACTCTTTTTGGACTTGGTGCGTGGATTTAAACAGTGGGCTGCCCAAGGTGAAAGATGTCATTTTATATAAACTATTTTAATGCTTTATCTCCCACCAATATGAGATTTTAGAATCTTTCTAACAAATAGTTCTTTATAAAATTAATGCTGTAACGTAGGGCAAAAACTTTTTTATCTAGGATTTAACATAATGTATATAGTAGAAATTTCTTCACAAAGTTAGAATCTTGAGTTTTATTACATAAATTACTTTTTCTTAATAAAAAGTTGACATTCAACATTATATTAAACTATTAAAGAAAAAATGAATGTTTTAAATAATAAAGTCATTTGTTATGATTTGTAGTCGCATTGCAATCTTTGATATTATAGAAAATCACAAATGTAGTTGAATCAGCCTAACATATAACAGTGTTAGAATTTTATCAAATACTATTTTGTCTTATATTATAATAAAAACCCATTAAGACAGTTCGATTGATAGCTGTATAGAGACATCTAGTACAGAGGTGAGTGTTCAAATTTGCGACATCTCACTTATTCATCTTTAATAAGATAAACTCCCACCACTAAACTACTTTAAAAAAAATTATTCAAAAAGCTAATTACATTTACCTTTATATTATATATCATTGAAAAAGAATAATCAAACATGAGATAGGAAAACAAATTGTGTGGCAAATATATTACATTAGTTCCACAAGTTTGCTAGTCACTATCACTATCAACAACATCAATCCTCCTACTATCCAATTTAGAATTTTTAAGAAAAGGAACAACATCATATTCTCCAACAACATCATTCCTACCTCCAAACACAAACCCTCTTTCACTTCTAACTAATAAGTGCAACACTTCCTTCATGGAAGGTCTACTAGAAGGAAGTGTAGAAGTACACATTATCCCAAGTTTGAAAATGCAACACATTTCATCCAAACAACTTGGTTCCACAAAATCTTTGTCTAACAAATCTTCTATATTGCTTCCTACAAGAACATGCCTCCATGACCATTCTACAAGTGATGAATGCTCATCACCATAGTTAGCTTCTTTACCCGTTGTTAGCTCCAATAGGATCACACCAAAGCTAAACACATCGATCTTTTCATTGATTTTAGTTGTTTGAACATATTCTGCAATTCAAACATCACAAAACAAATTCAGCTTATTGATTGACAGAGTAAAAAATCTTTACGAATTCGTAGAAAAAATGTTAGTAAGAAAAAGCAAAAGAATTGGAATGTTGTTCATTTCACCTGGAGCCATATAACCAAATGATCCAATAACAGCTGACATGGTGTTAAATTCTTCGGGTTTCATCAACGATCTAGCAAGACCGAAATCAGCAACTTTTGCATTGAATTGAGAATCCAAAAGTATGTTGCTTGTTTTTATATCGCGATGAACAATCGGAGGCGAGCAATCATGATGCATGTAGCACAAACCATGAGCAATCCCAATGGCAATTTGCAATCGCTTCGGCCAGTCAAGGACAACATGTCGCGCGGAACCTGACATATTCGATGACTTATTCTTGTTGTGCAGCCATTTGTCTAGGCTGCTGTGTTCCAAATACTCATACACAAGCATCATGGAGTCCTCATTAGAGATACAACACAACAACTTCACAATGTTTCGATGACGAATATTGCTCAATATTTTAACTTCCGCGCGAAATGAGGTTTCGAGCTTTTGCCTTAACTTTCTGTTACTCATGATTTTTTTCACAGCAACATAGGTTAAACCGTTGACAGGTACGCGGTATACTGTGCCGAACCCACCGCTGCCGATGATATTTTGTTCTGTCATTGAGGAAAGTATGTCTAATTCTGTGAAACTTAGCCTTTGAAATGAAATGAGCTTCCATGAACTTTCCGATTCGTCTTTTCTTTTCTTGTAAAGTTTGATAATCATGAATGATGCAAACAAAGCCAACAAGAAAGTCACAACAATAAGGCTAATAATCAAACCAATAGACCAATGAGAGGTTTTGGTTGGTTTTTCAAGGCCGAAACCGCAAAGGCTAAGACTAAGTTTCGGTGTATCAGCACATAAACCAGAATTGTTCAAAAAGCTTCTATCAAAAGCTGAATTTTCAAAATCACTGGGAACTTTTCCTGTCAAATAATTCGACGATAGATTGAGATTTGTGATTCTAGAAGGTATAGAAGGTATCTCACCCGAGAATTGATTTTCTGATAGATCGAGAGCACTAAGCGAAGGTAAATGACCAATTGAACTTGGAATTTTACCAATAAGTTGATTCTGGCTCAAATCTAGAATCACCAAAGATTTCCATGCTGCTATATCATTTGGAAGTGACCCTTTAAGCTGATTTTGATCAAGCAACAATGTTTGAAGTTTAGGAAGTGCTGTTAGCTCTTGAGGAACACTTCCATTAAGATAATTCTTGCTAGCTATGAACTTAACCACATTAGTCCAAGAAGATACTCCAATTGGAATTCCACCATAAAACTGATTATAACTTATATCAAAAAGTGAAATGCTTGAAGACAAATTTTGAGGAAGCTCACCATTGAACTTATTATGACTTATCATGAAACGCGTCAAATTTTCGGCTCTCCAAAGTCCATCAGGAATTTTACCAGAAAATTGATTCTTGTAAACTTTCAGCTCAACCAAACTACCACAATTTCCAAGTGATTTTGGTAACTCGCCACTTAAACTATTTTCAGAAACAGTTAATAATTGTAGCTTACCATTATAGCACAAATTCTCAGGTAACATTCCCTTAAAATTGTTCATCGCAATAAGAAAAGATTCAAGCTTCGAAAAAAGGCCAAAATTCATAGGAAGAGTACCTGAAAACTTGTTCATAAAAACATGAAATTCTGTCAACGATTCAAGACGGCTTATACTTTCTGGAATCTCTCCTGAAAAATTGTTCATGTGCAAATGCAACACTGTCAACTTTTGAAGCTTTCCAAAATCGTTCGGTATTTTCCCTGAGAGATTATTCTTTGCAAGATCAATTTCTGTCAAATTGAATGCTTCAACCGAACTCGGTATCTCTCCAGAGAGATTATTGCTGTTAAGGTACACTTTGCTCAAATTCTTCAACATGAACAAACCACTAGGAATTTTTCCTGATAAATTATTTCCTGACAAATCCAATGTCTCCAAAGCAACCATATCTCCAATATTTTCAGGAATTTCCCCTACCAAATTTGAACCATGTATGGTAAAAAATTTCAATTTATTCAACTTGGTTAAGCCTAATGGAAGCTTCAAAGGAAGCAAAGGGTTAAAGGACAAATCAAAGAACTCAAGGTTCAACAATTCACCAATTACCTCAAAGGGAAAAGTATCATTAAAGAAACAATATTTAAGGCCAAGGAATCTCAAATCCTTAAGCCTTCCAATACTCGAAGGAATTTCGCCGTCGAAATTGGTTGAACCAAGGTTGAGATATTGCAAATGAACCATATTTTGGATATCATAAGGAATCTTGCCAACAAAGTTATTCAAAGACAAATCAAGATACTCAAGATTGGAACATTTGAATAGATCTTTTGGAAACTCACCAGGAATGAGATTGTGGCTGAAATCAACATGTGTGAGATTTTGAAGGTCACATATGAAAGAGGGTATGGTTTGATTGATGTTGTGGTTGACCAAAGTCAACCCTGTGACAGAACCAGTGGTGCATGTTACCTCTGGCCAAGAACAATAGGAGGTGTTTGATGAGTTCCAATGAGTAAGAAAAGATGGATTTTGAAGGTGAAGCTTTATCTTCAATAAGATTGAGTGTTCTTGCTGAGACTCAGAATTTGCCAGGCTTAAAATTAGAAAGAAGGTTACATGAAAATATGTGGCTAATATTGTCATGTGAATGTTTCTGATGTTTTTTTCTAGTTTGTTTATGGCTAATATGTGAATGTATTGAAAAGGAGTTTGTATGGAAAGAAGGATGAAGAAGTAGAAGAAGAATTATTGTCTTTTACTAATAATTGTTTACTTGGTTGGAAACTTGGACACTCTACTTATTTCTCAAGGATAAGGGACCATAATTTGTGATTGTTATTACAATATTCAATTTACTTATTGTTCTGATGAGACGGGACGGAAGAATCATATATATTTGGTTAAAGATTCAGTCAAATAAGTGACAGAAATATTATATATTTATCTAAAATTTTAAGATGATAGATGTACAGATCATTTTAATTGTAAGGTATTCATCTAAAACTTTTTAAGAAAATATTTACTTTCAATAATTGTTTATACGTACGAAAAGTTAATAAATTTTCGAAAATAAACATCTTTTAAATTAACATGACAATAAGTTAATGATACCAGTTCATCATCATCGTCAATTTCAAGGACTGAATTATAGAGCAAGTCAACGAGTCAAGTCCATTTTCTTAAAAGTAGGATTTGGTGCATAGATTCCTTACACTCAAATCCAACTTTAATGCAAAACTCAGTGATAAATGTCTCATTAAGACTAAACTTCATAAAATAAGAGACCAGCTTTTACATCAAATTGAAAACAAAAATACTTCATATTGATCTAAATTTGCATTATTGCATATGCATGTAACACATCTGATGAATCAAATGAATGTAAAATTGTGATTAATTCTATTGAGTAGACAATTAATTTAGACAATATGTAAAATTATAAAATTATGATTAATCCTGTAATTTAATTCATCACAATTTTGATCATAAATGGTTAACTAAAGTAAAATATTTTGCTTCAATTTACATATGCACGATAGATATGACTATGTCAATTCATGTTTGTATTTTCCAGCTATGCAGCACACCCTAGTTGAAAATGGACAACCTTAAGAAGTTTGGACAATATTCCATCATTTCAATATCACATGATATTATTATTGTGGTACTCGACAGTGGAAGACCTTGACTAATTCACACACACCTAGGCGACTAATGAATAATTCTAATACAAACCACTACTTTCGTAAATCCATGGTTCACGCAAGAGTTGTGGTCACTCATTAAAATAAAAACCATAATGATAAGATTCAAAAACAAATGATCTAGTGAAGTGAAATGAAATGATTCATGAAATCGGTGTTGGTGTTTGATGAGAGTGTTTTAGGTGGGCAATAATTTTATTGTTTTCATCGGGATTATCGTGATATCAGTGAAGGTTTCAAAAGAGTTTTGTTTGGTATCATAAATATTACAAATGTTTTGTAGCAAAAATTAAAGTTTGAAAGATGTTTGTTTAAAAAGACATATCAAGAATGTATTTCATCAACCTAACTTGCATGTATTCTATCAATAAGCATGTGAATTTGTTTCTGATCAATATAATCATGTATCATGTCAATACTGTTTATGTCTAAAGCGATTTCGTGAGTGTTATCGTATTAATCACTAGATGATGTCTCATGCTAACAATCAACACAATAAACTTAAAGATCGATACAAAGTGAATATCAACTCACAAATCTATGTCTAGAGTTTGTTCATTGATAGATGAATAACTTAGGTTAAGGTTTGAAAAATACCTTTCAATAGTGATCCAAATCAAATATATATCATTAAGAGCAAATGTATTCATCATACATTAATCATCAACTTGCTCACATACAAAGATTAAAGAAAATACATACAAGCTTAAGGAAGACTACATCTATCCTTGATACAAAGGATTTAGCTACCAAAAACCATGGTAGCCTGCTTCACAAAGAAAGGAAGGAGATGAATGTGCATCCAAGATGAAGAATCGATAATGGATGCGAATCCAACTCCTATTTGATAAAGATCACCTCTTTGATGAAGAAATGATGTTTTTAGGGTTTTGTACTCTAAGGAAATGTTGTGTGTCAAGGAAGTATATCCAAAAAGTAAGAAAAAGTACATAAATAACTTTTCTGCGCTAGCTCGCAGAGCGAGCCTCCTTTTTAGGCACTTCAAGTGCCTCATAATAGTTAACTCGCCCTTCAGGAAATCTCTGAGTTCGTACATCGAGCTTTCTCGCCTAGGAGTCGCACAACAACCACAATGCAATTTAGCTACTGCCATCTTTCTGTTTTGCCTTGCTTTCACTTCGCCAAGAGGTCGCACAATGACCTTGTTTTCCCTTCGCTGAGAGCTCGCGCAACGAGCTAGCTGATTTTCTCTTCTTTTCATTGGCTTCCCTTTCCATTCTTTTGTGCCTCATTCTTTGAGATTCGTGCCTAATTCCTTCACAATAACACACAAATAAAGGAATCTAAGGGACAATGCAATTATGCTAGCAATTCACACAATATCATGGAGTAAATCATCTAAAACACAAATAAAGAGTTGAAAAATGCTTAGAAAATTAGTTCAATTTAAGTCATATTTGACATTCAACAAACTCTTCCCAACTTAGATCTTTGCTAGTCCTTAAGCAAAGTATGCCTTTCATGAAAACAAGAGGATTTTCTCAAGCATAAAATTTACCAAGAAAGGATTAACGGTTCAAATTCAACATATGAATGCTCACAAGCAACGTTCACTACTTCCTAGAATCAAACAATGACAAAGAATTCAGTTCTTAAAACAAATATCATGCAATGCATTCACAAAACAACTAAATTCTCATACTTGAATCACTCTAACACTTTTCTTCGATTAATAGATGAAGAAATTTGCGCACTTTGAATACGCGGGACAATTACACTCACCTGAAAAACAATGCTAACAACAAAATCAATTCATACATTCATCAAATAATCATATTAGAAATCATGGAAGAAAAAGATCACTTAGGCTATTTAAACAAAGTTGTCAGGCAAAAGAAATATTCACTAAACAAGATATTTACACATCACAACTTCTTTCACCATTCTCTTTTCTCTATTGCTCACCCTTTCAAACTTCCTTAGCACAATTATTTTTACTCCTTTTTTTCTCAAACAAGCCCTTTTTTTCTTTTCTTTTTCACAATCATATTCACAATTTTCTTTGTTTGTTCAATGTTTTTTTCTTTTTCAAAAATTTTAGCACCCTACCATTTTTCCTTCATTCTCCCTAACTTAAATACAACCAAACCTTAAGTGAAAGTTCCTTACTTTCTATGGAAAGGATATAAGTTCAAAGGTTTTAAGAAAAAAAATTTAGAATCCCACAAAAATTTAATGATGAACCAATCTTTCAAGTTTCTTTATGTACACAATCAAAGTTCATCATCAAAATGGGTTCTAATATTTTAAGGCTCAAATGGGCTAACGAATACTCACTACTCATAGGGTAAGTCACTATTTTGGTAATGGTGGTGCTCAATAACAACAAAGTGCGTTGATCATTTCTTATACATCCACAAAATCACAACAATCAAAGGATTAAGCATGAATTAGACGAGTTAAACAAAGTTATCAATCATCCAAAGAATTTAATGCACAATGGAGGTTTCTCACAATTTGTGATTTTTGGACCTAAGTGACTCAAGCATTTAAACAAGTTGAAAAATGAAACAAGAATGAACATTTGCATAAAGCACAAAATTCTTAGTCATTCTAACATTCTAAAAAGCGGCAACCATGTACCTTACTTGCATTCATCACATTAAAATTCACATCATCGCCATCCAAACTTGGTAGAACCTTCATTGAATACTTTTTAAGCAAAATAGCAACCAATCTTTGAAGTTTTCAACATCTCGTTCATTGTAGAAATATAAAACTCAAAATAAATTAAGAATCATAAAAAAACTAATTGAACATTCAAAAGCTGAAAATTTCAAATCATATAACATAATGTTATAGTGTACACACCAACAAAAGTAGTATCAAACTAAAGTACAACTGAAATAGCAACATAATACCCAACATTAACCAAAATAAACTACCACAACATCAAAACATATCAATGATAAAAAAGCTAAACAAGAAACTTCACTTTGTCGAAACAAGGAAGTAAGCTTTTATAATCATACTTAAAACATCAGTAACTACACCTCGTAGTCTACAAATTCGGAGTCAGTACTTGCATTCTCATTATCACCATCCCCAACATCCTCACCAGCAGCATCATGATCAGCATCAGCAGCAGTACCTGCCCCTCTCTGTCAAAAGGCATGCATTCAGACCAACTTGCACGAGCCAGGAACTGCTCCCTGGTAATTATAGAATGATCAACAGAGGGCTCTCGTACCTACAACAGTAACTGCTGCATAGAGTCATGAACAAAACTGATAGCCCGTTGAGTAGCCTGCATCCAATCTCATTTGAAGTTGCAGACCTCCTTCTGATAAGGGTCCCAACTCTAGAAGTCAAATTCTCCAGAGCTAGTACCTACTCCTGAACCTGAAGCCTCTCCAACTGCAGCTCTAGCCTTCCTTTTTGGCTCACAAAACCTAGATACATAAGCATCATCAATGTCAATAGTAAGGGTTGCATGGAGGCGAGCAAGTAGCTTTGCACGCTAGTGCATACAAAGAGACATAATTAAACATGGAAAAACCAAGGATCAATTTGCTTTAGCCCCCGATTTCACACCAGTCTCCATCATCATCTGCATCTCATCAGTCATAATGCAGGCCACATCCATTTGAGTATCAATAAGGATGTTATGCACTAGGTGTGCTAGATCAATCGGAACCGTAGAAGAAGGCACCCTAAGTTTGATATTATGTAGGACCAGAAGTAACACCAACTGTGTTATAGGACGCATGTCCTCCCTCCTGTATTTAATTGGAAGTCCAGATGCGTTGCACATAACACTCTTCCCTTCCAACAGAAGAGCAGTAGACATAGCCACAAAATTCATAGGCCTTTTCAACTGTAGATGATAAACATGTATCTATCATAACTCCATAGTTAACAGGTTCCTTAACACCCCATTAATTATGTCTCTATCAAAATTTATCTCTCGACCACTCA